AACACAGTGATAGAACCAAATACATATGTACCAACCCTGCCTTAGAATAACAGCACAGCAGAACCATCTGATGAAGCTCAAGGAGTCACACATCAACCTACAAGTCTAGAACCTCAGCCTGCTGTCACTCTGTTGTCAAATATGCTGTTTTTATCCGTCGTCGTTTGTCGTCAATCGGTTGAAAACTTTTGAACATTTTTAGCTTCTTCTCTGGAACCATTGAACCAGTATCATCCAGATTTGACATCTATGTGTGAAGGGGAGTGAAAGGGATTTATCTGCTAAATACCTTGGAGCGAAGATTTTCAAAGAATTAATGCAATTTCAATATATAAACAGAGCCCCGACTGTCAAAACACATCCTTTTTCTGAGTTTCCTCCTTTATGCCTTACATTGAAAGAAACCGATTTCATGTCAAAAAAGCCATTGGAATCTGTATGTCGGTAGGACATGCCTCATTGACCATCCATACATTTTTTTGCGTCTAAGTAGGTAACATAGTTGCTTGGTTGGCTCTGATCGTAATCTTCTACTTATGGATTATTTGCTTTTGCATATATATCTGTGATATCATGGAGATGTAATAGAGAGGAATATTAGATGTTTTAATAAGTCGATCATAAGTTTGATTGTCTCATAATGGTTGAAGACTTTTATCCAACGGAAATGTTATTTATTTCCAGTGGAAATAATAAAGTGAATGGGATAAACAGTTCCTTTTTCCTACCCAAACTCATAAAATGAGATTTCATTTAGGGTTCCAAACTTTGCAATCTCTTTCATCTGTACTGGAAATTGTATCTCTTTAAAATCCAGTTCATCAACGATTTTTTTTTTTAAACTCTATGTGGATTCTTTGCTTCAGGATGCAATGCAGCTCTACCCATTGAACAATTTCTGGTCATATTCTGCACATTAAGGACTACATTTTGGACCTTAATTTGATTGACAAAGGATTAAATCTAGATTCTTTTAAAGGTTGATACCTTGTGACATTTAGTGTCAACCTAATCACTTTTTCAAGTGTCCAGTTGCTTCCTTCTCTTTGGTATTCTATATTATTTTGTTGTTTTCTTGCAAGTTTTGTTTTAGGTCTTCAAGCTTCAAGGCCACATGACACCTCCCATAGAAATGATGTTCTTCAATTTCAGTTGCATCTTCGTTTCTTTGGTATGGAAGGCCATCGGAAGGCTCTCCTGTATTAACATTTTGGGAGGCTACTGTGCTCAATTTCTGGATTCCCCTACTCTTAAGGGGGCTCTCTACAACGTCATAACATGGCGTACTTCCGTTTGAAACGTCATTTTGGTCCGAAGTGAACTGATTCTGTCCTAAACAAATTCACAGAACACCGATAAATCACCGAGTATAACACAACTTGCGAGATGTATACTAGCTCTATTTTGAATGGAATCTGAGACTATCCCATCGAGGCGATGAGAGCGGTCAATTTAGCCTTTCATTAAACATGAATTGTTTGTCAATATATTCAGTTTCAACTTTTTTTTTAATAAACAATATAATTTAGAATAAAATATGATTTTAAGTAATAAAAAGTTAATATGATAAACCAAAGCCTTGTCACCATGATATTTGATTTTTGCGTGTCAAACCCACTCGTATGTTTCCATAAAGTCCTAATTGGTGCTTCTTTCCAAAAGCATATGCTTTCCAGCGAAATTTAGATGGTTTTCCATCGAGGTGATTTAAGCAAGAGTTATTTCGCCATGGCCGCCATACTGTAGGTCAACATCCTCAGATCCCTTCATTATTCAACCAAGTTCATTTTGTTATACTGGGCACTCAGGTGAAGATAACACTGTTTTTCGTATAAATATACGTTTGTTATAGCTTCTTTTAATTCATAATTTCAATACTGTAAATATTTTTTCCCATATATTTCTGGCATGCATGTTTAAATTTGGTTGCTCAAAGAGGAAAATTCACTACTTTGACCTACAAGATGGCGGCCAAGGGGAATAACTCAGAGGCAAAATACATCATAGGAAAACTATCTAAATCCAAATATGAAAATTTAAACAGATAAAGCATATGTATCACCTTCCCATCGCCTAGAGGAGACACCCTATTCCCAACACGTATACACCCCGCATGTGTGGTTATACCCGCTGAAACTGAAACTTTTCGTGAAATCACCAAAACGCTTCTATAATATAAGTGGAATTATATTAACTCAAACGTTTGATCAACATCGATTATTAGCTGTTTTGTATCGAAAACGTGCAGATTTGAAACAAAGTAGGAATTCGTTATACGAATTTCTTTAACCCGCTTTTGACCATTTACGTGTCATGTAATCCGTAGCACATGATAATATGTACATACAAGTTGGATGAAAACGGTAAGTAAATCTACCTTTCTCAATACTATGGTCGCCCGCGTGGCACAGTGGTTAGAGCGTCTGCTCTAGAGTCGCGAAGTAAGGAGTTGATCCTTACGTCGCGGGTTCGAATCCCACTGTGGGACGTAGAGACCGGTCCTTCGGATGAGACCGTATAAACCGAGGTCCCGTGTCGCAGTAGGTGCTGGCACGAAGAAGATCCCTCACTGCTCAATGGCCGTAAGTGCCGAGTATAGGACAAAATATGCAGCTCTCCACCGGCAATTGGTGGCGTCTCCATATGAGTGAAAAATTCTCGAGAGGGACGTTAAACAACATACAAACAAACAAAACAATACTATGGACTCCCTTTACATGTTTTGACTAGAAACGTGTAAATCTTCGCTTAAATTCATTCAAAAACAATACAATATGAACTTCTTTCGATGTCCTAGTTTGGCATGTACCTATTAATTCCTTTTTTCAATACCTGTGCAAGTTTTAGAAGAATTAGATTAAATATATTAGAACCCAAGATATTTGAGCCCACTCTCTAAACGGATCTTTGACACCTAAATTTTTGTGATGGTTAAAATTTTCGTCAATTTTTCAATTTCATTCAATTTCTTTTTTTTTTCATCCTTTTAACCCTTTGATATTATATTTATTTTAAGATTTTTCAGGAAATCCGAACAGTTCTTCTCATGAAAATGCTGTTTTAGTTTTTCTTTTATCTATTATTGTAAATTCAAATAAAAATTATGTAGATTTCATTTATAACTTTGTTGGTTTTCATTTCAAGATTTTATAAAATTAAACTTTGAATAGAAAATTAAAGCATAAGGCTTTTAAAAATAAAAAAAATCAAGAGGTTTCTACAAAATAAATTAAATATTTTAAATATTTCCAAAAAATAAAGTCAAATAGTTTGGAGCTTTATTTTTTTTGGATATTGAGTGTATTATTAGAAACAAATGCCTGAAACAAAAATCATTTATACTTCGTAGGTGTAGAGATCCTCCTTAAATCAACAAACAGTGTTCTATTCTAAAATATAGTTCCTTACAATTCAAAAGGATTATTGAAATTTCAAAACCTGATTTAGCTTAAAAACTCAAAACCCAAGGACATATATAGTCATGCTCTTTTTCCTCAGTTAACTCTTATCAACATCTCCGTCTTGCATGTTAAGCTACACGTTCACAGCAAATGAATTGTCAATTGTTACGTGACATACATTATTAACATCATATTTCTAATTTTTCCGCTAAATTTAATGTATCTGATTTTTGTTTTGGAAATTATCAACATTTTGTTTCTCCTGTGCATCGCTGCCCTTAGCTATCTACATGCATTTCGGATGTAATGTATGGAATACTTGATAAATCGATTTTTATGATAAATATCCAATTTAAAATGTATTAAGTACAAAATGGCCGACTAAATAAAATGTAGTTTTTATACAGTAAATTGTTTTTTTTTCTATCTCTATTATACACTAGACAAAATTGCTAACGCTCCACTTATTATTCTTATTTGTGAATTTCCTGATTGGTACTAGTATATAAAATATGCCATCTTTTCCAAAACAGTTGAATTGACAATTGTCTTGGTGTCACGTAAAGACCCTTAAAGGACCTTCTTGTCCGAAAACCGATTTCCCGACATGCACTGTGCACCGTTTTTGCCAAGATATGAAGTTGGTGATTACCGATGGTGGTCCGTGACGTTGCGACGGGAGCAGCCTCCCACTTAAAAATCAAATGATATACTCTTATTGACTACCATGTCGCTTAGTAGTCATCCAGTGCCTTGGTGTCCTTACCAAATCCACCCAACTTCCGGTTGCCCCAATTTTGAGGAACAATCTTGAAGTTATTGTGTGGTGCTTACTTAATGCCGTTGATATATGTTGTAAACATTTTTATGATCGTTAATTCATTTTCAACAATTTTTCACCAGAGAAATGCATAATCTTTTAATTGTTTTAATTTTTCACAAATTTCTTCAAAGGGACCCCATACAGACACCTTGCCTTAGGACGCTCTTCTAGAGTCAAACGCCGCATACGGTGTAACTTTTTTCTGAGTTTTTAATTAGTACAAACATTAAGAACACAACCACAAAGAAAAAAGTAGAAATTTATTCCACCAAAAAACTATGGATATGATTTTAATTTTTTCTATGAAGTGGTTACGCTTCACTAAACATTGTTGTTATTTATCAGTTAAAACATTTAAATGTCTCATTTTTTCTTAAAGTAACATAATTATATATCAAAAACATCATAAACAAGTTTTGAAAAGAAAAATGTTAATTTATTTAGGTGGTGCGTTAGCAATTTTGTCTAGTGTGTATATATATATATATGAAGAGTGCATACTGCCGCATTGGTGATTATGACCTTTTGACGACAACACAATGCGCATGCGTGACTTTTTTCATAGAAGTATTGTTTAAGTAATGAAGTCAGAAAGACGGACAGGTAGTAAAGACAGACTAATAGATATGGTGAGTTATTATACTCCAACAGTTATGTTGCTTTGTGTGCCTTCACTTCTAAATGAAAATAAATAAGAAAGATGAATGGTGTGTTTTTCAGAAAAGAAAGTAGATTTAACTCTTGCCATCAATAATAATATTCCTCTCTCGTTTTACCTGTGATCCTTTGATATCTTGTTTCCTTATGGGCACTTCCTGCGAATCCTGCAACATGGGCCCCTAGACTGTGTCCAATGATGTGGATATGTGATTTTTTGGCGCCCTGGTGGTCTTCTAGATTTCTTACAAGTAGAGCGAGAATGGTTCCAACCACCTCAGTATTCACAGCAGCCTGTTCATAATGTTCAAGATGATCGGCGCCTTTTTCCCAATCCACCACTATCACGTTTGCGTCCACCTGTGAAAAAATTCCGAGTCTTGTTTGTGTGAGAAAGAAACTTATTACTTATATTTACGAGTTGATACTGCGAACGAATAATTGACTTAAGTGTACTTAAAGTTTTTTAATGATCTCTAACATACGACAAACCTCAGATAGAATATTTTGGCGCATATCAGAAATCCAAGACTCTTCCTTATTATTTAGGAATCCATGAACAATTATGTAAGTTTTCTTGGAAGGGTCGAAATGGCTGAAACTTGATACATCTGAGAATCTGAGTTGTATATCATTTTTATTTACGGAATAAAAATAAAATCTTGGGTCTATATCGTCAGGGGTGTCAGGTAGGACTCCTTGTCTGTACGAATGAATGAGCAGTAGAGAACGAATACAACCAATCCATAAAGGAAAACACAAAATGACAGCTCCTACAATAAAAATTCAAACCAACCTTTTCTTAAGTAATACATATTCATTATCAAAAATAATTTTACGAAAATTTCGGAAGAAAAACAAATACTTATAATTTGACAGCATAACGAACTTCTCTTTGATATTCAGAAAGAATAAAGTTAATATGAAATCAAAATCCATGCAAGTTATCACAAATAATAAAAGTTATTCAGAACATAAGCTGTAGGAGTCGGCGTACCCATCGATTTTATCTTTTTTTTAACTGAATATAAATGTTTTATATTTTCATTATAGGCATCATTTTCACTGAGTTAATAAAACATAATTATGTGGATTGCTGATAGTCTCCTACATCTTCATTGTATGCCTCAAATAGTCTATCGATGGAATATCTACATTAAAGTATTTGAATCTTAATTTAAACTTATCTATTAGTTGTTCTGATTTAAACTTAAACTAATGAAACAAATTATAGAACGATGTTTTTGTTCAAGCTAGATGAACTCCTGGCGAGGTTGCTAGTATTTTTTATGCTCAGAAATATGTCGTACAGAAACAAATGGAAGAAATCAAAGAAGACAAGAGGCCCAAGGGCTTTAACGGTCACCTGAGTATAATACAACAATTTAGAAGTTTAATACACTGATAGATGAAGCTTTGTTGCCCTAAAGCAAGAGAAGTAGGAAGATCAGGATCAACAAAATAATAAGTCTAGTATTCAGTATCAACTCATAAATTAAGTTCTAATCTGTCCTCCACTTAACACTATCACCATGCAGACTATAAACAAACTGTTAGTGCTTCTGTACTATTTTTAAACCCATATTAAGACCTCTAGCATTGACCTCTCTTATGGTCTTTGAAGAACTTTTAATAAGATAAGTTATTTTTCTCTCATTTTTATTTATCTATTACTTACAGGTCTACCTGATTATTAAAACTAAGAAAGTACTTTTTGAATTATATACGATAAACATTCTTGCATAATTATCTTATTCTATTAACCTTTCAAATACATTATTTACAGTGATTAATTATCAAAGGTGAATGGAAAAGGGGAACAACTTCTCTCAGTAGAATACAAATTAATAGAGCCCTGCCCAGGACCAGAATGCTTAGACAAATGGTCCAGATGTTCAAAAATCTGGTAGAAATACGCTTACTTATATCATTTAAACTTTTACTCAGTTTGCTTCCGATATGCCCAGAAGCAGAGAAGAATTGCACAGGTACAATGCATTTTCACTACAGATTCAACAAAGCCTTACCCTAACACCAGAACCCAAGACCAAGGGTCAAGAAATTTACAAATTTGGAAAAGTTACCCTCATCATCTTCAAAGAATTAACACTTTTCCACTATATTATCAAAAGCCCCCCCCCCCCCTCGTTATGCCAGAACCCCTGATCCTAGGACCACAAGATTTAAAAATTCTGTTTAAAGCTCCCATTTTCATCATAGCTAAGCAATTTATTTATCAGCTCAACACTAAGGAGCAGACAGGATTAATTAATGATTAATTAATAGAATTAATGCTATTTCACTATATAATCAATAGAGCCCCCCCCCCTCCTCAAGAACCCCAAAAACTGAGGCCATATATTTAAATATTTTGGAAGAGGCATCCTTGCCTATCATAATCATGCACTTAGTTTGTTTAAATAATCTCCAGTAGCAGAGAAGAAGATTTTAAAGAATCAATGCATTTTCACTATATAATCAATAGAGCCCCGCCCTAACACCAGAACCCCTGACCCAGGGGCCATGGCTTTCACAATTCTGGAAGAGGCCCACCTCCTCATCATAACTATGTACTTAGTTTATCACCTTAATGCCTAGGAGCAGAGGAGAAGATTTTCAAAGAATTAATGCATTTTCTCTATATAGTCGATAGAGCCCCGCCCTAACACTAGAACCCTTACCCTGGGGCCATAAAATTAACAATTTTGGAAGAAGTACTCTTGCTCATCATAACTATGTACTTAGTTACTTTATTAAATATCCAGGAGCAGAGAAGAAGATTTTCAAAGAATTAATGCATTTTCACTATATAATCAATAGAGCCCCGCCCTAACACCAGAACCTCTGACCCTGGGGCCATGAAATTCACAATTTTTAAAAAGGCACTTTTGCTCATCATAACTATGTACTTACTGACTTTATTTAATACCCAGGAGCAGAGAAGAAGATTTTCAAAGAATTAATGCTTTTTCACTATATAATCAATACAGCCCCGCCCTAAAACCAGAACCCCTGACCCAGGGGCCATGGCTTTCACAATTCTGGAAGAGGCCCACCTCCTCATCATAACTATGTACTTAGTTTATCACCTTAATGCCCAGGGGCAGAGGAGAAGATTTTCAAAGAATTAATGCATTTTCACTATATAATCTATAGCGTCCCGCCTTTACACCAGAACCCCTGACCCTGGGGCCATGAATTTCACAATTTTGGAAGAGGCACTCTTGCTCTTCATAACTATGTACTTTGTCACTTTATTTAACACCCAGGAGCAGAGAAGAAGATTTTCAAAGAAATAATGCACTTTCACTATATTATCTATATAGCCCCACCCTGGGGCCAGAACCCCTGACCCAGGGGCCATGAATTTCGCAATTTTGTTAGAGGGCTCAATGCTTATTACAATGATGCCAACAGTTTGACTACTTGATGTCCAGGAGTAAAGAAGAAGATTTTTAAAGATTGCATTAGTTTTGGTGGTTTTAGCCCCACCCCTCAGGCCCCAGGGGGGCAAGGACCATGATATTCACAATTTTTGTTCCCCTTCACCCATAGATGCTATATGCCAAATTTGGTTGAAATTGGTTAAGCGGTTTCAGAGAAGAAACTAAAAATGTTCAAATGTTAACACACGACGCACGCCGCACGCCGACGGACGAGAACGGATAGCAATAGGTTAGGCCTACCTGAGTGACTCAGGTGACCTAAAAAGGGAAATAAAAACATATAGGATTTTGTAATTTGGTGTGATACTTCATCCAATGAGCTATGTGTTTTCTATCCCAGCTCTTGGCATTTATCCACTAGAAAAAGGAATGTATATATACGAGATAAATTGAAACAATGCATCTACTAAAAACACTACCTGCTGTTACCGCTAACAAACCGATTGCTCTTTTTGCCCGAAGTGATTTATCTATGCTTAGAACTGTCAGTGCATTATTTTTTAACCCATTTGTTATCGAGATATTGAGGGATTCTAAGAAATCTGCGTCATATTCAGTATCCAAACTCTTTCGTAGGTGAGGTTCATTTGCACTTCTTCTGGATCGTTCAACCAAGTTTACTTGTTTTTTACTGACAAATATTCCTACGATCTGATACCCTTTAAGTTTATTAACTTCTCTTTTCTTTCTAGAATTAGTCATCTTGTCCACGTCCCAGTCAATGCCGTGTGAGGAAAAATCAAATTGTGCTACTAAACTTGTGGCAAATTCGTTTTCGTCGATGATTTCCTCAGAATCCTTCTCAACGTAAAACATGAACTTTCTTTGGTGTCCATAAACATCATTTCGAAGACAGGATCGAAATTTAGCCATACCTTCATCGAATTTTTCACTGAATGCATGTTCATAGACCTGTTTTATGCTCCAGTAAATTTTTTGTTGGTCAGTGCCAAAGAGGTTGCAGAACTTAGCATTGCTGTTTTGGAAGTAACAATCAGAATGTACCAGGTACGCACGATCTCGAATATTTCTGCAATCTTCAGTGCTATTTGGCATTAACACCGACCTTAACCTATCCTCGATACATTTCTGCGATGATCTGACCCAATTCTTTCCCTCCTCTGAAAATGAATTATATTCCTGCCAAAAGATAGAACATATAGCTTTTCCGTATGAAATGGCGTAATTAGAATCACTTCCTTCGCATGAAGAGTGGGCCTCCAGACATTTCGAATACCATTGACAATTGCTGTCCAGGGCCGGTATGTAGCAATTAGGAGTTACTTTGATCCTTGCTTCACGTCCTTCTTCTTCCAGGGATCTCTTTCTCCTTTCGTTTTCAGTTGGATCACACACACATTCTTTTGCTATATGTCCTTCTCTGATTTCAGGGTATACACTCTGAGTACATGGTAACCAACAATATGCGGATCCTCTACAACCCATATGTCTTTCTGTGTGTTTCTTCAAAGACTGGGACGACAGACAGACGGCCCATTGATAACCATTATATTTGGGTATTCGAACACAGTCATATACTCCCTCAGTCCCATGATTTGGATCACATGTATCGCAGAGTATTAGATTCACGAAGGTAAAAAATATCACAGTTTTTAAAAATCCTACCATTTTTGAACGTACACACGGGCACTGAGCAGGAATATCTTGTTGGTATCTTTATTTAACTTCCTTGTCATTACCAGATCATGTCACTGACATTTAAATGTTTTTTATTATACTTCTTTCTCAAACTGGTTTAGTCTGTATTTAAAAGCACTGTTTGCTCAATAAATGCACCCAATTTTAAAACGTTCAATTCACCCTCCCCCCCCCAAAAAAAATCAGTTTACAAGTGGGAAGGACAACGTTTAAAATGAATTTGTTCAAAGCATGAATTGAATTGTAATTATAAGTTCCCGTCATGTATACAGCAAACGTTTTAAAAACCAAAACTTCAGTATACCCTTGTTGTTTGCACTATTTAATAAAAGCTTTGACGATGGCTTTGATCTAAAAGTTCATAACATTATTTTCTTATATTACAGTTCTATTATCGTATTTGTACTCATTTGTATAATCATTGTATTGAAATATTATGTGTCTTTTTAAAACAAAAACAGG